TAGACGAATTTACTGGCCCATAGTTATAGACAAGTCAGAGGCAGGTTTTAACATTTAAAACTGTATATTAAGATAAACACTCTTTTAACACTGTCATAGTCAACTTAAAAGACCTTTTAACTTTAAAACAGCGTTTTAAATTTAAAATGAGGTTGACGAGGTTTTAAAATCTTAAAAGCCTCTAAGTAGACGTTTTCGTATCAAAATTTGCGGAGAAAATACAAAACTGGTCTTAATTTGAAGAATATGCTTCCCAATCAAAGGATATTTCGAGATTTTGCGGTTTTGGATGATACAATCGCAACCAGAAATAGGAAAACATGCAAGGAACGCCAAGATCCTTTTCAAATGAAAGAGGAGGACCGCAAGCAGGTCTTTTCAGCAGCAGTCCAATTAACTTCACGAATTCCTTTCAATTCCTATAAAAATTAAATTATTTACGTTAATAAATTATATTTTACAAAAATTTGTTATTTACTTACAGTTTGCTGCGCCATTTTAAAAATTATTTATAAAAGTCAGTTGACACTAACTAAACTAAACTAAACTAACTGACTAAAACTTAAAGCCTGCTCTAAACTTAAAGATTAATTTTAACTAGGAGAGGTTTTAACTTTCGACTATAACTACGGGCCACTGAGTTTTTCCAAAACAAAATACGTCCAGATGAAGGTCGAGATTTGGTGCAAATTCATCAAAATGCATCCGACTCGATCAAAACTTGACAAGAATACGAAATTGAGCGGGCCAACAAAGGCCACTCCAAGACTAAGACTTATACAGTGGGTAACTACGTTGTTGTGAGAAATGTTGATTCGACTGTTGGAAGTAATAAAAAGTTTGTACCCCGCTATAAGGGTCCTTATGTAATACATAAGATTTTAGGAAATGATAGATATTGTTACGATTATCCTTGAAACCTCGTCCAGATTTCCCAAATCTCTCGGTTCGTATCGCTGGATTGTTAAATAAATGCAATCGATGACCAAATTTTAGTACAATTAATTTTATTGTACAACAAACAATTTACAATACTCGCTAATACAGTAAAAATACTTTACAATACTTGTTAAAGCAATAACACCGCTTAACTAACTTAACAATTAAACTTATATATTGCTTATTCGCAACTCACTTCTCTGCTCACTTTACTTGTAGCTTGCTGTCTTGTAACTAACTCACCTCGCTGTGGCGGCGCCCTTATATACCTGCGCTGGCACTTATGGCAACTCTAGAACATTCTGAAGTTTATCGCTCATTCTCTTTCTCTCGCTGTTCACAGTGTTCATCCCACTTGACGTTTCTCTTTGTGGAACATTCTACGTCATTCCTCGAACATTCTGCCTATTTCTCGTTGTTCGCTTTGTGTTGCCGCAGTATTCGCCACACTGACCTCCAGCTAAGTCTGATCGTCCCGATCAGACACACTTGCGGTTCCAAACGCTGCAAGCCTTTCCAAGTGGACCACCTTCATCTTGTTTCTTGGTCTCCCAACGGTCTGGATCCGAGACATTACGTAATTTAGCCGTTTTACGACCTTATACGGACCTTCCCAGTTGCATTGTAGTTTTGGGGACAAACCTTTCTTTCGTTGTTATTGTACAGCAACACCAAATCTCCTTCCTGGAAACCCTCGGAATTCATCGCCTTATCATACCTGGCTTTCATCTTGTCACTCATAATTTGTGTGCGCTGTCTCACAAGAGCATGTATCTCTCTCAGCTCCTCTTCCAGGATGTTTGACGTCTCTTCTCCAATTCTTCTAGCATCACCAGTCACCCCAAACTTCAGATCACTAGACAAACGGAGCTCACTGCCGAATATTACCCTTGCAGGAGTTTTACCCGTTGTTTCATGCACTGCTGACCGGTATCCCATCAGGAACAAGGGTATGCGGACATCCCAATCTTTTTGATTCTTGTCCCCGACCTTCCGCAAATGCTCTTCCAGGGTTCGGTTGAACCGTTCCACCATGCCATCTGATTGGGGATGAAGAGCCGTCGTTCGAGTTTTCCGGATACCCAGTATCTGGCACATCTCTTGGAACACCGCCGATTCAAAATTTCTTCCCTGGTCAGAGTGCAGCTCTATAGGTACACCGTATCTCGCAACCAAATTGTAGGTGCATACCTCCGCTACTGTTTTAGCTTCCTGGTTTGGAATCGGGTACACCTCCGGCCATTTGCTAAAGTAGTCCATAACCACAAGGACGTATTTGTTTCCCTGTGCTCTCATAGGAAATGGACCGGCTACATCCATGGCAATCCGCTCAAAAGGTGCCCCGGAGTTATACTGCTTCATCTGGCCATGACTTCTGGATTTCGGCCCTTTAGCTGCAATACACTCCGCGCAGTTAGCAATCCACTCTGCGACCGATTGCCGACAGCCAACCCAATAGAACCTCTGCTTAACCATCTCCAAGGTCTTCGTGATTCCCAGGTGCCCTCCACTAGGACCATTGTGGAATTCCTTGAGTACATCCGGAATTCCTACCCGTGGAACTACTATCAGGTTGCGGGAGCACTGGCCATCTTCGCTTTCCCATACCCTATGCAAACAGCCATATATTAATTTTAAGCTGTTCCATTGTGCCCAGTACGCCTTTGCGATGTGGCTTTCCGCTGCCATTTTCTCCTCAGTTGGCCTTCTGTCCACCTCCAGTCGATGCATCAAAAGCTCCAGATCTGGATCTTCCTGCTGACACTTTCGTAGCTGTTCTTCCTTCCACTCTTCCGCTGGTGTTATTGTCGTTAGACGGACGTCTATAATGTCCTCTTTTCCCTCAGCTTTTGAGCAGTGTTTACATTCCAGGCTACATGGTCGGCGGGACATGGCATCAGCATTACCGTGGACACTTCCCTTGCGATGCTCAATAGCGAAGTCATAACTTCGCAGTCTCTCAATCCACCGAGCTAGCTGTCCTTCTGGATTCTTAAACTGTAGTAGCCACTTCAGCGCTGCATGGTCCGTTCGAACTCGGAAACATTGCCCATAGAGGTACTTGTGGAAATGTTTGACGCACTCCACCAACGCTTGTAGTTCTCTCCGAGTTACGCAGTAGTTCCTTTCTGGTTTTCGAATCGACCGGCTATAGTAGGCAACCACCTTCTCCTTCCCATCAATTACCTGCGACAGTACGCCTCCTATGGCATAACCACTAGCATCCGTATCCAAAATAAACGTTGCACCTGGAACGGGATACGCTAGCATAGGTGCAGTACATAGTCGTTCCTTCAGAGTCTGGAAAGCCTCCTCCTGCCCCTTGTTCCACTCGAAGGTTCTACTTTTCCTAGTGAGCTCGTGGAGGCTATTAGCCACGCTGGCGAAATTCGGAACAAATCGGCGGTAGTAGGTGCATAGCCCAAGAAAACTCCGTAGTTCGTGCAGGTTCCTAGGTCTTGGCCAATCCTTTACTGCTACTATCTTTTCCTTCGCAGTACAGACGCCCTCCGTTGTCACCTTGTGCCCTAAGTAGTTCACCTCCTTCCTGAACAGTGAGCACTTTTTAGGACTTAGCTTCAGACCAGCGCCAGCTATCCTCTGGAAAACTTCTTCCAAATTGTTCAGGTGTTCCTCAAAGCTTTTACCCAATACGATAATGTCGTCTAGATACACCAAACATGTTTTCCAATGCAGTCCTTTGAGCACATGGTCCATAAG